CATCATGTTTGTTTTAAAAATCTATTAGTCTGTTATAAATAATACGTTCGAAGACTTTTGATAAACAGGGAAGTAAGGAAATTGGTCTATAATTTTTGAATTTATGAGGATCATCTTTCTTTAAAACAGGGATTACCTTTGCAACCTTTAGGGGATCTGGAAAAACTCCATTAATCAGGGATATATTTAAAATATGGGTCAAAGGTTTTACAATACTGTATATGGGGAAATAGATTTTATAACATTGCTTAGATATCCGTCAACTCCTGTACTCTTCTTTTCATTTAGTTTGGAGATTAGATCGACCACCTCGTCTTCAGAGACTGGAGAAAGAAAAGAGAATTTTGTATAGGTTGGGGTAGGAATGAAAAATATTTCAGATTAAAATCGGGAATCTTTATACTGCTAGCTAAATTTTGACCAATGTTAACAAAATAATCTTTAAAATGAGATGCAATGCTTAAAGGATCAGTAATTTTGTCTTCATTGTGAATAAAATATGATGGCAATGGATTATTTTTTGTTTTACCCAGTACTTTTTTATTACTTGCCAGGTTTTTAGTATATTAAATTTATATAATTTAAAGTTTTCTATGTAATACTTTTTTTTTTAAAGTCTTTAATAACTTAGTAAGTTTATTCCTGTAGTTAATATATTTAATTTTGTCTTCGTCTTTTTTTGTTTTTAGATATGTTTTATAAAGTTTATTTATTGTATCAATTGATTTAATAAAGCCGTCAGTAATCCAAGGTTTTTGGTCTTTTCGATAATTTTGTTTAACAGCGATGTTTCTTGATGTTTTTTGTGTAAAAATGATGAAATTTTAAATTAAATATATTTAAGGCTTGGGTTGGATCATCATTGATATTATGAACATCATCCCAGTTGAGATTAGAAAGATCGTTAATTAGTGCAGTCAAATTATTATTCGTAATTTTTGTGATATATATATAATCGGAATTTTTATTTATAGCTGCATTAGATATTTGGAATCTATTATTATGGATTAAGAAAAATATGGAATAATGATCAGATATATCGGACACTAAAATACCAGGGGAGATTTTGTCTAAAATATTATTTGTAAATACGTTATCAATAAGTGTAGCTGTTTTTGTTGTTATTCGCGTGGGTTTCGTTGCTAGAGGGTAAAAATTTAAAGTAAACATTATTATTAAACATTACTAAATTCTGAAATTTGATTGTCTGTGCAGTTTAAGAGGTTAATATAGAAGTCTCCAGCGAGATACGCAATCTTATTTTCCCTATTAATAATATGAAGAATTTGAGAGACGTTACGACTAAATAAGTTGATGGGAAATTCTCCTAAGCGATATATAGCTCCGTGAATTATGTTTTTAGGTTGATAATTTATTTCTAAAAAGATAATTTCAGAGTTACCAGATATAAGAGATCTGGACGCAAAGTATACTTCAATTGCTGGTCTATATATATAGCCACACCTCCACCTTTTCTATGATTTCTAGAATTATGAATAAGATTATAACAAGGAATATGATAAAACGAATAATTTGTTGAGTTGTCATTAAAGAAAGTTTCTGTAAAACATAAAGCTGAAAATTTGTGCTTAAGAAGATCCAAGTAGTCATTTACTTCGTCAAAGTGTTTTACTAAACTTCTGGCATTTAAATTGAATATGCTAAATGAGTAATCTTCATTTGAATAATTTTGATTAAAGGAGTCAATGAAATTGTAATTACATGCGTTATTATTATCAGGAAAAAGAAGTTATTGTTTGAATTATAATGCTCAAGATCAATATCAAATGGATTAAAACACAAAGCATTTAATTTATCGAGGTCTACCTGGTCCCCGAAAAAAACTTTTATTTGATATAAAAATTCATTGTCCTTATAATAACGGTTGAAAGGAAACACATGATGGACATAATATGTTCTCAGAAGTTATGTTGCATATAAAGCATGACAATTTATCTAATACTGTACAATAATTAAATTAAACAAAAAGTTTAAAACAATTATTAAATATAAGATAAGATACAAAAGATAATAAAGTATCACTATAATATATATTATTTTCGAAAACAGTAAGACCGTTTATGTTCAGTAAATGTTAACGGACAAATATTACTTCGAGACTCAATATATGCAAAACAAGATATAGGCCTATGGTCTTATAACAGTATTTAGAGACAAGGAGGCAGGAAAAACAAGGAAGGGTATTGTGACATGCTTCATGGAAGAAAATTTATTTTTAAGGTGAAACAGGACATTATTCTTTCACAATAAAATATTAAAGAGCAAGTTATAAGTTCACCTATTTGAGCAGCAAAGGAGTACATAATGATTGAACTGTACGTACACGTCACAGAACTAAGTATGCAATTGGCAGGTGAATAATTAAAATACCGTGACTTACGGAATGTGTACATTTTAATAATGATGCCAATAAAAAGTACTTTTCATCATAACAGATAAACAGAATAACGATTTCTGGAACTTAGTAAATTAACATCATGTTCTATAATATGAAAACAATGTATAACGTTTTCTTTTTAAGTTTCGAACATAAGTCCTGGACCAATAGTTTCCTAATATCGTCCAAGGACGTAATTCTTTTCATAGTTTCTTTGCCGGTTTGCTCACGAATCGCTGCGTAGATACGACCATCGATTTACCACGAAGCTGTAGGCCTATTGATCTTGGATTGATCTACGAGTACGAGTAGTTTTTTTTCTAGCCTTAATGATTTCATAGCGTTTGTGATAGCTGCAAAATTTCACGATGATGGGCCTTGCTTTGCCTGCCATCTGCTTTCTAATACGGTGAGATCTATCAATGTCGTCTAGAGTAAGATCGATATCCAAATCAGAGTTAACCAATTTAATGATGACACTATCCGTATTCTCAGAGGTCTGTTCTTCAATGCCGAAAAAACGAAGACAATTTCTCCGGCTATATTGTTCTAGCTCGTCCATCGACGTTTCAATATCGGCAAGCCTAACAATAATGCTCTCTTCACTCACTTGTAGTTTATTAACTTGGACGGTGAGTGAATGGATATCATCCGCTATTGGAGTTAATTGCTTACTGATAAGAACGTCAAGTTGTTTCAATACAGCTGGGCTTGCAAATGCCTCTTTACTATGGCCTTTAATTACATTTTTAAAATCCACGCTAGACAACAATTCGGCTACCACATCTTTTGCGATAGCCAGTTGTTGTTTTGCAATAGCCTGTTGATCTTGTGTCTGGCTTCTGGTATGGCTCATTATTGAAGGGAAACGAAGATTCTAATTTCATAATGGTTTGTACCTATGAGAATACAATATTAGTTGAGCCAACGAAGAAATACTCACAAAATGTTAGCACATAATTGTCCGATTAAAAATGAAAATCGAAAGAGACGATCAATGTACGTGTGCTCTCGTTGACTGCTACTTATAGTAAAATGAACGATTATCGTAACACCCTCAAACTTTGAACTGAGGTAATAATTGATACAATTGGTCACTAATAAAGATCCATTACAAGCAAAACAAGTAACAAAAATACAAACAGGTAAAAAAATAAACAGAATGACTTGAACAATTAATGAAATTCAAAAGGAGTCGTCAGTAGCGGCTCCCAGACATTACTTAAAGATGCACTGTCACAATCGTTGCACGACAGACTCTTTAAAATGGAGTTGCAACAGAATCAAGTACATAACTTGCAGGCTAGATAATATGAAAAGAAGAAGAAAATGAAGATGACGGAGTGTACTAATACATGGTGTCAGGATCTCCCGGCCAGCAGCACTTAATTGTACTATTCGGTGCGAAAATCAAAAGGCTGGCCATTTTTCCTCCACTTTCCTGCAAAGAACTTCCTTGGCTGTAGAGATCCATCACTCGTTTACTCCATTTTCTCTTCTCTGTTAAATCGGTCTTGGTTAAGTCATCGACGATGAAAAACCCCTTGTCTTTGCAGACGGACCGCGACAGTTTCAGGATATCCACTTTATCTTGGTAAGACAAAAGTTTAACCAGCAAATGAGGCGATCTCCCTGTTTTCCCATGGCCATCTCTGTGTGCCCGCTCAATTTTTATATCGGGCAATTTAAAATGAATCGAAAATAATTCCTTGGCAATATCTACGCATTTTTCGCCTGCAGTAGCCTCAACACCAACAATCCTCATGTTATTTCTACGTGAGAATCTTTCCTGTTTGTTGATCAATTCATCGTATAGAGAAGCATGTTTTTTTTAGTTGTTTAACAGTCTCTGTTAGTACTGCATTTTCCTTGACCAGTGGTGTGATTTTAGAGGTACACTGTTAAAAATTTTCCTGTAAAAATGCCGTCAAAATACTGGCAACCAGGACGCCAGTACTTTACCGTAATGTAAAATTACATTTACCGTTAAAAATAAATTTCTGTAAAAATACGGTAAATTACTGTTGATCGAAATACGGTAGTCAAACGTAATGTAAAGTCACAGGTACCGTTATTAATTTTTTCCCTGTAAAAATACCGTCAAAATACTGGCAACCAGGACGCCAGTACCGGTACTTTACCGTAATGTAAAATTACATTTACAGTTAAAAATAAATTTCTGTAAAAATACGGTAAATTACTGTTAATCGAAATACGGTAGTCAAATGTAATGTAAAATCACAGGTACCGTTATTGATTTATTCCTGTAAAAATACCGTCAAAATACTGGCAATCAGGACGCCAGTCGTCAACCGTAATGTAGAATCACAGGACCGTTAATAATTTATTCCTGTAAAAATACCGTCAAAATACTGCCAATCACGCCAGTCGTCAAACGTAAT